GCCAATGTTATGTTCAGGTCCATATTACCTAGTAAAATTATTGTGTATTTGTTACTATACCACTTAAGTGAGTTCCCCTAATTAATATTTTTGTGACTGTCACTGACTGATAAACTGTGTTTTTTTTTCTTTTGCTTTTAGTACTTCAAAGCCAATTCATCAAAATAACTGGTTTTACATTTCATTAGGAGAGTCAACCGTCTATGTCAAAATTGTCAGTTTTATGTGTCTGATCCCAACATTTGATTATTTTTATTATTATTATTTTTTAAGATTTTATTTATTTATTTGACAGAGAGAGAGATCACAGTAGGCAGAGAGGCAGGCAGAGATAGAGGGGGAAGCAGACTCCCTGCTGAGCAGAGAGCCCAATGCGGGGCTCCATCCCAGGACCCTGGGATCATGACCTGAGCCGAAGGCAGAGGCTTAACCCACTGAGGCACCCAGGCGCCCCTATTTTTATTTTTATTTTTATTTTTTTAAACATTTTATTTATTTGAAAGAAAGAGAGAGAGAGGGAGGGAACATGAGTGGGGGAGGGGCAGAGGGAGAGGGAGAAGCAGACTCCCTGATGAGCAGGGAGCCAGATGTTGGGCTGGATCCCAGGACCCTGAGATCATGACCTGAGCCAAAGGCAGATGCTTAACCAACTAAGCCCACCCAGATGCCCCTGACCCCCAAATTTACAAATGATGTAGAGGAAAAAGCACTGACCCAGGAGTCAGAGAGATCTTGGTGCCAGTCCCAGCTTGGCCTGAAAAGACTGTACTTCATTCAGTCACTTAACATCTAAGGCCTTCATTTTACCCATTGATCTAACAAAGTTGCTGAACCAAGGACCCATTCCAAAGGAAATACTAGAAGGGTGTTCTATAAGAAAAAAAGAAAATAATTGCAGAGAGAAGGAAGAAATGAAGAACAACAAAAAGTATATATATATAAAATGTCAATACATATATATGTCTTAAATTACAGACTTAAAATATTAAACTGTAACATTCAGAGAGAGAAATGAAATAAAAATACCAAATGAACATGAAGGGATAAAAATTCTAGTCATTACTGCATTGCTGGATTTTTAAAAAAGAGTTTATTTGTCAGAGAGACAGAGACAGAGACAGAGACGGAACACAAGCAGGGGGAGGGGCAGAGGGAGAGGGAGAAGCAGGACCCCTGCCGAGCAAGGAGCCCCATGTGGGACTCCATTCCAAGACCCTGGAATCATGACATGAACTGAAGGCAGATGCTTAACTGACTGAGTCATCCAGGTGTCCCTCACTGTTGGATTTTAATAAGTACAGGTTTGGTTCGCCAGAATTTAGTTTAGGATTTTAGGATATATATATATATGCAAAAATCCTAAACTAAATTCTGGCAAACCAAACCTGTACTTATTAAAATATATATACATATATATATATGTGATATATATTACTCTCAAATTCTATATATGCCTATATATAGAATATATAA